TACCCACACTGCTCCCCCCCTTAGCAGCATAAGTTCACATCCTCATCAAGTTAAAACATCTCAAGAATTTTAATTCTTTGCAAACACTGAATTGGCTGTTTTGTTGCAAATGTCTAAGTCTGTGTCTCTTCATGAAGTCCATTAGGACCTGTGAATCAGATAATCCATCATCTCTGCCTGTCGCAGCTCTAGACTCAAAAGGCCTCCGAGGTGGTGCTTAGAACACGGAGGTCACTGCAAAAGTCGACCACAGACGCGACCGCAAGTGAACAACTCCTTAAGCTTTCCACTGCTCTCATCTGGATACTGGGTTGTTCTGCGGTGGAGGGTGAATATAAAAAAGGGGAAGGTTTACTGACATTTTCTATGCTAAAAGAATGTAAAATATACACTCACGGTAGTCTAAAGAGAAAGGTAAAAATGGAAGTTTTACTTTATTTTATTATTAAAGTGAGAGGTTTATGTGGCTTAAAGAAAATGAGACCAAGAAGATTGGGAACCACAGGTTTTAAAATAAGGTGTCTAAGACTGAAGTACTGAATAAGAAACTGACCTTTTTTAAAAAAGAGAGAGAAGGAAATTACTAAGTTATCCGCCCTACAGGCCACTATATATATATATATATATACAGCTTTTAAAAGGGACTAAATATCTGCTAATTAGAATAATATTTTTCTCAGATAGTTGGGAAAGACACTAAATGTACTGCAATTATGATGTGGCTATTTTAAAAAAGAAGAAATAATTTGGGTACTAATTACATGAGGATATTAGAACATGCATTTATTCATACAAAAAGAGAACCTTAACTTCAAATGTCAGTGTATATGACTCTGGGAAAGCAAAATTGGTGGCATTTTTGTACAGATTTAAAAAAAAAAATTCAATGTTTTGAAAATCTTTTCACATTAATTGTTTTATTTCACTAATATTCCATATTGCAGCCTCATGTGTCTGACAATTAGTTGTTAAGAATGGGAGGAGGAGAACAGAAAAGGGGAAATAAAGCAAGCAGTTAAGGGTGTATGTTGGAGAGACCAGGGTTAGTTGGAGACCACCACAATAAAGTGAATATCCAATAAAGTGATCTCGCAATTTTTTGTGAATGTACAAGTGCTTAAGAAAGTTCTATTTACACTGTACTGTTGACTGCTAACCAAGAGCCCAAGGCACCTGTTAGGTTATCTGGTGAGCTGCTGCTAATCAAAACGTTAGCAGCTTGATTCAACAAGTCCTCCAGGGGAAAAAGAAGTTCAGGTGCTTCCTGTAAAGATTTACAGCCTCAGAAACCAGGAGGAGGGTCACTATGATTCAGCATTCCCAGTGACAATGATGGTAGTCTAGAAAGGGAGCGGTAACTCACAACTCACTGCCACTGAGTTAGAACTGACCTGAGGCTGACTCTGCAGCATGTTTCTGAGGCTATAAATCACACAGGAGGAGACGGTCCATCTTTCTTATGTGGAGAAGCTTTAGGAACTCAACTGCCAGACATGTGGTCTCTGGTTAGTGTGGCAGCTCCCTACAGACTAAGCCACCAGAGCTCCCTAGTGCATCAGAGTATTACGAAAAAGTCTGAAATAGTGGGAGAATTATGAAAATAAGTGACAGAGAGACAAAGTGAGTACATGCTATTGGAAAATAGTACTGATAGCCTTGCTCAATGCCAAGTTGCCACAAACTCTCAACTTAAATCAACATCTGTAAAGTACAACAAATGAAAGCACAACAAGAGAAGGCATGTGTGTAATCTACATTCTTCTCCTTCCCGAGGAGAGAAGAGGAGAACTGAGGAGGGATTTCACAGGCTTTCCCCCCAACTCCAGGAGCTCAGACAAGGCTTCACAGCAGCAGCTGAACACTTTGCTAGCTGTCCACAGGGACACAGGGGACCCTACACAGACATGACACTGGTGCCCCTTAATCTCCCATTTAATGTTCAATTAACTGTGTAAAAGGCAATACAATTCTCCAAGAGGAAATTAAACACACACAAAAAGGAACAAGGGCCTTCCCACCATATCCTCTTTTCATGGTGAAAGCTCTAGCCCTGTGGGGATGGAATTTCTATCATTACTATTTTGAAAGAAACAAAAAAAAAGAAACGAATCAGTCAATAGCTAACAGGACACCAAATGTCAAAAAACAGGTTGCTAAAAAGCAAACAAATAAACAAAAAAACCCAACCCAAACTAACAAACAAACAAACAAAAAAACCCAGGTTACTGATAGAAGACAAGAACATATATATTAAAAAAGTTACATATTAAAATGTGTCCATTATTACCCTTTAAATAATCTAGTAATGAATTCAACCAAAGTGAAAAGCAAATTGATCCAATAAGAATCTTACCCATGTTCAAGCAACTACAAATAGTCTGAATAGCAGATAATGACAATTAATTGCCGAATAATGATTTGGTGGTAATACAAAATGCATAAATTAAAAATGTAGTCATGAAAAATTAGGAACTCTTTCATTTGCCATACATTCTAATTCTTTGTAAACTCTTGTATTGCAGGTAGAGAGTGGTAGAGTTCCTTTGAACCCTGAGACACTGAGGAAGTAAGTGGAAATGATAGCTAGAGTTCAGGACTGGTTTGGGTCCCTGGACAGTCTAAATGGTCACATACTGGTCTCCTAACCAAAAGGTTGTTGGTTCAAACCCATTCAGAGGCATTTGAGAAGCCAGGCCTGGTCATATGCTTCTGAAAGGAGAGAGTCTTAAAAATCCTTTGGAGCAGTTCTACTCCGCACACAAAGAGTGGATGTGAGTCAACAGAGATGACTCCCACAATTTCCCTTAACTTGAAATGAGGGCGTGGGCTCACTGGCTTGATTCTAAGTTATAACAGACTGCTGCTCCATTTTCTTTTTTCTTCTCTAAGACTAAAGAGATTATAATTAATACAATAATGTCTTCATAGTACTTCATCTTATTTTATACATAAACTGCTTAAAGAGTGTAAATTTCTGACATTTGGGATTCTCTGTATCCAAAGAAGAAAAAAATGCTCTCATTTTAATATGTCTGGTGAATTTGCTTAGGGCATGAATATTCAACTAATTTAATATTTTAAAGCAATTTTAAACAAATATCATATAAATCCCATTTTACAATGTATGTCAATTAAAAGCATATAAATCTGTGGAAGGTTGTATGGCGCTTTCTCAAAAAGTTGCAAATAGAGATATCATTTGACCCAGCAATTCCACTACTGGGAATATATCCCAAAGAGACCATAACTGACATCCAAGCAGATATATGCACACCCATGTTTATC